TGTAAAAACTTCAATTGAATTTCAATAAAGTTAAAGGCATGGCCTCACCGTTAATATTTAAAAAAAAAAAAAAAGATGTGGAAATAAAGATAGATTTAATTCTGCTAACAACAAATTATAACATAAGTCTGATTATATAATATATTGTAAAATGAGTTTTGTAGTTCTTTCTTAATATAAGATAATGAAATAGGATTCAAGAAAATAGAGAGTTTTTTTGTAGATTTGCTCACTATATGCTTGGCTAGTACAGCTGTATAGAATACCATAGTCTGTCTTGTACATTGGGTTTGACTATTATTAACCTGATTCTTTATATGTTATTAAGTTTCTACTTTATCTTAATTAACAAATCTATTATAAAATCTAAATTTCATATTGTATCTTAAAATTTACAGCTCAACTTTCTGACACCTTCTTTCACTTAATTTTATTAGTTCAAAAATAAACTTCTAGTATATCTAATAAATTAAATATCAAATTAATCTTTTATATATAATTACTAATACTCAAATCTAAGTGAACCTTGATCATTTTTGTTGATTTAGATTATAAATGAATTAGTCTAAGCTTCTATTCTTTTTATAATATTTTAAAAACAAAATTGTATTTTATGTAAAATCTCAATTAAATATTCAATAAAGATAGAAGCATAATTTCACCATTAATATTAAAAAAAAAAAAAATCAATACAAACATTATTTCTATCTTCAATAAAATGCTTAAAAGTGAACTTTAAAATCAATCTTTTATAATCTTATTTACAAAAAAATTAGCTTAGATATAACTTTTTTAAAAAAATAAATTATTAACAAAACAGTTGTCTTTTTTTTTAAAGATTAAGATTTCTAGTAAGGTAGTTAAAGCAAAACAAGCTTGTTCACGTAAGAAATCTGGGTTTTACATTAGTGATATGAGCTTTGTTTAATAGTGAACGTTATTTTTTTATCCTACTTTATATTCGTCTATCTATATTTTATACGTATATAATCCAATAAACCATGTGTATTTATCGATTTATAGTACCGAATTGCAAATTGTGTGATTTGATTGGCTAATAATCACATGTAGATCTACAAATTGATCTACCAAGCTAGCCAATCAGACGAATTTCTGCCTATGAGGGCTTGAATGTTAATTGACCAAAACTGACCCTAATGTCTAGGTCAAATTACAGAATTAAATTTGGCATTTTGGCACAATATATTAATTGTAGTTTTATGTTGCCACCAAGTGGTTCTCGAATTGGTGGTGCTCAATCTTCGTTATGAAACGTTCTGCAAAAACAAAGAAGGGGGGGAAAGAATCGGCATATATAAGGTGATTAGTAAACGCTTTTTTTTTTAAAAAAAACTGTTGCCATTCTGCTTTATGTATTAATTAAATTGATTGCTTTTATAACATAAGGGATATATATCTGCAACTTGAAAATGAACTCCAAAGGGAAATGGAACATTTAAGACTTATACTGGGTCATATTGATAACCAAAAAACAAAATTGAAAACTGAGGAAACCGTTTTACTCGCAATGCTTGGTGATAGCGGTGACACAACTTCCCATGAAACGTCAACGTCCTTATGTTTTACTGATCTAAACATGGAATCTGAGGTACAATATAACGCATTTATTTATACTCGCTCTTCGAATTTACATTATCTTATTAATATGGCTTTTTAAACTATAGTTTAATTTGACCCCAGAAGTGCCTGGATTCTCTTCATTGGAGCTGCCAAATATTGGATCATCTGACTTACCTGATCTACAAGGAAAACACATGAACCTCAAATCAATAGATTTAGATATTGCTAATGCATTGTCTATCTTAGAAAATATGTCTGATTGTGAGGCGGAAGATATTGAACAGATCGCACAGTCACCACAATCAGTAGAAGTATCTTGGAAAGATCCGATACAGCAATCATCTACATATGATAGTGATGAAGATCATGAGATTGGTTAGTTTTTTATGTTTATTGGCTATTTCACATATACAATTTTTGTTAGTAACCAATCCTTTTAATGTTAGATGATGATGATGATGATGATGATACGGCTCGAGAAGCCTTATCCAAAATGTTGGCAATTTATTCATAGTAATTTAATTTGCGTTTTGCGGACTGATATAAGAATTGTATTGTCAACCAACATTTATAAATGAATCAACTTTATGTGCCGTTTTGATTGCTTCAATTTTCTATGCAATGAGAATGCAAATTACGTTAGATAAACAAATAATAGGTATGTACCTTTAAAATTGATATGATAATTTATTAATTGGCTGATTTATTAAACCACTTTTTTTGGTGAACAATTAATCCTTTGTTTGAACAAAACAATTAAATGGTCTTTTTAAATTGTGTTTGCAAATTTTTTTCTGAATACATATACACAAGCAGTATAACCTCTTTGCCATGCAAGTGATTTTTGGTTTAAGAATAGGGTTGGTGTTTATAAAATGCTATAATGAGGTAGATTATTTTCAAGTTAATATTTATGCCAAAAATTTAGCATTAGGAAACTTTTTTGGCTGATTAATAAACAATTAATCGATCATTATTGATTAAAATTATGTAAAATTTGAAGAGCATTAAAAAAAAAGTAATCACCAATTTCCGATTTCTTTTAATAATTTTTTTTTTAACTTTTAGACTAAACGAAATTTGCGCATTTATTATTTGTAAAAATTTGATTGAGTATTTTAATGCGTAATTCCTATTTCTGCAATATATTATATGATGAATATGCAATTTTAATTTTTATAAAAAATAATAAAATTTTGTTTAATCTAACAGTCAAAAAAAATGAAGAAATCAGAAATTAGTGATTTTTTTAATAATTTTTAAATTTTACATAATTTTGCAAATTGCAATAATTAATAATAATTAATATAGTAGTGTTTATGTCATGTGTCTAAATGGAATTATTGAAATTATTGTAAATTTAGAATTCATTTAAATTGATTTTAAATAAACCTAGGTTGTAATAAAATATTAAAAGATTTAAGTTATTAAAGAATTTCAATTCAACTTACAATAAAATTAAGTAAATTTTATTGAGTTTATTGTTTTAAAATTTAAGTTGCTTTAAGATAATATTTATTATAATGCATTAGCAAATTAAATTAATTATTTTAAAGCATTATATATTGTTTTACATTTATAATTATTAAAATAGTAACTACTATTGCATAGTAATTTATTTTTTTATATTTACAATAAATTGTATTTTTTTTTTTTTTTTTTAAAGGTCATACTTGTAATGATACTTTATTGACTTTACATTAGGTTAGCTATTACAACTATTTTTACAGAGATGAGAGTACAGCTAGTCATATATGCAACTTTTAGTTGTCTATTTAAGTAGTCCACTCTAAGGTTCTACACTAGATGCTGTACCTATAATCTACTAGGAGATTATCTATTTAAACCTTCTAATCATCCACCTTGTTATATTGGAATCCTCAACTTACTCTCTAAATATATATTTAACTGATATACCATCTGAGCAGTATAATTACCTATCCTTTTTATATTGGTTTCCAGACCATTACATATTTCAGAGTATGTTACCTATTAGTAAGATGCAAGAAGCTTCCTATTGTTAACTATCTACCCATTTTTAGAACACTAACATGAACTACCTTTACAGAGTTTACTCAGACCTTAGCACTGACTTTGCAGCATATTCCTAGTATTTTTAGTATATTCTTACTTTGAATCTAGACTTTCAATTTAGATAGCTCAGAAAAACTGTAACCTGTCTTTAATATATTGAGGCTGGTCCAATATCCTTTTCTTTTAGTTCGAAATCCAGTAGCCTAATTGGTGGTACTCTTTATTTAAGATTCTTGCCTACCTAAATTCTCTACATTAGTATCCATTTCTTAGGTCTAGCCTTTACAGTAGTACTGGCAAAGATCCATATTACCTCTCTGTTCAGAATTTTCAAATAGGTTTCAGCTTCCCAGTTTTATGGATTTATATGACCTGAGAACTTATTTTAGGTTTGCATTACCTAATACTGGTTTGTATTCCTCTGTGTAGTAGGTTATACAAATGTTCCAGACCTGCCAGTTATACTGGTATGACTATAGTTATAGGTATCCTATTCCAACTGATTAACAGAATGCTATTGGCATAATACTGTCTATATATTACATAGGTGATTATTCAAATTTCATATTAATAGATTTTGAACTCACAATTTACCACTTGGGAGTTTGACAACTTATCCATTTCACTAAGTCATTACATCCTAATGAATTAGTTTTTTTTTTTTTTATTAAGGTGATCTCTTTGGTCTTTTGATTTTTATTAATTACTTATCAGTATTGTAGTTCAATAAACTATTATAGAAGAGAGTATAATTGGCTATATATGTAACTTTTCTATATTATCTATTTAAGAAGTCTGCCCGAAGGTTCCCTACCAATTGTTATACCTAATACCTCTGTTTGGATATTCTACTTTAAATCCTCTGAATCTGTAATCTGTGTTAACTCACTAGGTTATACTCAGATGCTCAGATCATTGTCTCAACTTTAGGACTAATTTATCCTTGAGGTAAACTCTTAGAGCCTTCTGTACTTATTTTTACAGCTAATCTAGGTATTGCTATGGCAGAACTAACACTTATAATCAGGACTAACCATTAAACTGCTATGTTCTTGTAAAGTTCACTTAGGCTCCAGCATCTACTTCACAGCATAACCCTGGTACTTTAGTATACTCCTGTCTTTTCATCTGCTTTTTTATCAAACTTCTAATCCAGATAGCCTGTGTAGGACTATGACCAGTCCATCAGTATATCGGATTGGTCCAATATCCTTTTTCTTTAGTTTATTCTGATGGCTTGGTTGGTGATATCTTTGAGATTCCCAACTTAGAGGTTTTTGCCCATCTGGCTACTATGACTAGGTACTACAACCTTGGTATTTGTTTCTTAGACTAGCCTTTACAGTAAGGCCATTGAAGATCCAGCTACCTCTTTACTTAGGTCTTTTTAAATAGACTTCTTGTTATCCAATTTTAACAGATTTATATAGTTACAAGAACTTATTTAGTGTTTGCATCGCTTGATCTATTGATTTGCATTCTTCTGTGTAATACCATACTTACATAGATGCTTCATAACCTGCCAGTCATGCTGGTATGATCACCATTACAGGTATCCTAACCCAATCATTAGTAACAGTTGCTGTAATACAAATATTACATAGGTGATTATTTAAATTTTTGGCATCAATAGGATTTAAACATCCAACCTACCACTTGGAGGGTTGACAACCTGATCACTTTACTAGCTCGCTACATTTCTCTAATGAATTGTATTTAATATTGTTTATTTATAATAAAATTGTATAATCAATATTATTTAAATATTTATAAATAAGAAGATATAGCAATCTAGTAAAATGATCAGATTGTTAACTTTCAAATAGCAGGTCTAGAGTTTAAATCTCAGTGTTAGTAAAAATTTAAATTTCTTTTTGTATTATAGTTAACTGCCTTTCATTATTGGTTAAGATTAGATACCTGTTATCTGTATCATACTAATATAACTAGAAGATCATATAACATTTATGCAATAGTTATATTTGTACAAAAGAACACAAACTGATATCAGGTAGTATAAATCTATAATAAGTTCTTGTAATTATATAAATCATAAGAATTAGAAAGATAAAAGTTTACTTGAAAGATCTGAGTAAAGAGGTAATCTGAACTTTAATAATACTATTGTAGGGATATAGTAATCTAATGAAGTGGTCAAGTTATTAACCCTCAAGTGGCAGGTCCAAAGTTCAAATCCTAGTATTGACAAAAAATTTGAAAATCTTTTTTATATTATAGTTAACTGTTTTTCGCAATTGGTTAAGATAAGACATCTGTTACCTATATTACACTAGCATAACTAGTAAGTTACATAAAAATTGTGTAACAGTTATATGTCATTGTCTTTTAAGCCAAGATTTGTGGTTATATAAAAGAATGCAAACTGGTATCAAGTAGTACAAATTTATAATAAGTTCTCATAGCTATGTAAATTATAAAAACCAAATAAAAAAAAATAAAAGTTCACTTAGAAGACCCAAATAGAAAGATAATTTAAACTTTTGAAAATGCTACTATAAAGACTAAACCTATGAAATAGAGCTAGAACTTATGAAACTAGACAAATATACTGGTCTTTGAGAAGGGACCAGATGAACCAACTAGGCTGTTGGAATTTTCAGATTTCAGAATAAAAAGTTATATGCTAACAAATATATAAACCAGAGGTGTATAGTTATGATCTGCCTTTTTAAGCTATCTGAGTTGGCAGCTTGATGAAACTTGAATTAAATACCAAAGTAGTAGAAATATGTTATGAAGTTAGTACCAGAGTTGGGGTAAACTCTACAAGGATATATCAGTTTAATAGTATATTCTAATTACCAGTGTTGGTCTTAGCTATAGTGATATCAGGTTAGCTATAAGAATAGGATACGGACCAATTCTGTAACTCTCTTCGTAGATCACTTGTACTAAAATTTTGCTAAAAACATTTAATTATTTCTCAAAATTTTCTTAAGTAAACCCTGTTCACACTCTTAAGTAAAGTTGTTAAGCTGACTTTTCTCCTCCTAGGCGGCCAAGTTTCGGGTTTCTACAATACCTGGCTCTTGAGAAAAGTTCTAAAAACCAAAATTCTGGTTTTGCTAATTTTCTAAATATTTTACTAATTAAATATACCTTGTTACCTATTAGAAAAAGAACAAGCTCTCTGTTTCGGTCATTTTAATATATAATTTATTATAAACAAACTAAAACTTACCAAGATACAAACAAAAAGGCGAAAACTAAAACCTGTCTTTGCAGGTTTTTTCATTGGCATTTTAGGAAAAACTGCTGGGTTGCCCCGGATTTTTCACTTTTCTGGCACCCATTAAAATTTCCTAAACATCCAATTAGCTCTTAC